GTCGCTTCTAGAAACTTCAGCGCGCATGCTCTCAGCGTCGCGTGACTTCCGCTGTCGTAACAATATATATATTACACAACAGCGGAATTAATTAAGTGTGAAAATTTAGAACAATTATAGATCTAAAGAGTTTTGTGAGTCTTTAAGGGTCGGGCAGTCTTTAACTATGAGTAGACTTTCTTTAATGTAGAGGTCAAGGTCTGGAGATCCTGTGGTGATGATGGAAAAATTGTTAAATGAAATACTGTGACCTGTAGTTTCAGAATGTGAACGAAAAGATGAGTGGCTGGGTTTGCTCATATTCTGAAACCACTGGTCACAATATTTCATTCTAAGGATAGACGAACTTCCTAGCATGTTCTTTAACTTATGGAATGCCATCTGCTCTGGTTATTTCCACTTCAGCTTGTTGGATAGGCCTTTATTGGTCAGGTCAGTCAGTGGTGCAGGAACTTCAGTGTAGTTTGGGGTGAACTTCCTGTGGTTTCCTGCTAACCCCTGGAAGGATCTGCACAAGGTCTGTCTTGTCTGGCCTATCTGTGAAGACATCTGCATACTGGTACAGCAGTTCTTTTATGTCTTTCTACTGCTTGCCAGTCAGTTATTCATTTATGTTATTGTCTTTGTACTTGTCATCTCCACCTAGTGGTCTTAGGTCTAGTAGGTCTTCATTTTCTTCGACAACGATGCTGTCTTCTTGTTCTGCATCTATGACAGCCACACCTGCAACATCCAACTGTGCCTCAATAGCTGCACCCATTATGTCTTCTTCTCTATCAAACTCCCTCTTCAACAAATTGGCATGGTAGATCTTTGTCTTCTTGACTCCTTTCATCTTAGAATCCATTCTGTTGACCACTTCCTGCACCTCAAAAGGTCCTTTCAATTGCATGGTGAGTTGATTGCTGTCTATAGGTAGTAGAACCAAGACCATCTGTTGTATTGGGTGGTAAAGAGTTGCCTAGTGCTGATGAGTCTGCACACTTTTTCCCCCGTTGTGAGGTAAACTGGGTTCCTCTGCCATTCAAGAAATATTTTGGGAAGCCTATTTTACAGAACAATTCCAAGAGAGCTTACTCTCTCCGTCTCTTTCTTCAGCAATGCTATGGCGTATGTGTCACACATCACGTAGTCAACTACTGTCAGTACATACCAGTTGCATTTATCAGATACAGGTACTAGTGGTCTGATCAAATCCACAGCTACTCTGCTGTATGGCTGTTCTATGAGAGACATCTCACCCAGTGGCACCTTGGTTACCTTCTCTCTAGGTATTGCCCTTTGGCAGATGTCACACGACCTGAAGAATCTGGTCACATTTCCAATGACTCCTGGACAATGAAAGCTACTAATAATTCTGTCTGCCACCTTCTTCACTCATAGGTGTCCTCAAACAATTGACTCATGTGTCAATTTTATCACTTGAGTCCGGTTTTTTATTGATACTATGGTCTGTTTAACTTCCCCAGTATAACTGCCATGATAGATCCAGTACAGCACTCCCTTCTGATCCTTTATTCTGATGTCCTCTTCCCATTGGTCTTGTGCTCGTGTTCTTCCTAGTACTGTCCCAAAGTTTCTGCAATGAAGGGTCTTTCTTCTGTGCTTCCTTCAGTTCCTGTAGACCTACATTCGGGATGTCACTTTTTGAGACTTGAAGCGGCTTGATGTCTTGCTTGTTTTTCTTCTCTTTAGCTCTTAAGGTGACTGCAGATTCTTCATCAGTCTCATTTCTCTCTGGTTCCTCCAAACTTCTACTGTCTGGTATATTGCTGATCATCAAGTTTTAGATGGGTTCCTTCATACACATGGCCTCGAGGTCTCCAATGTAGTATGAAATGTCTGCCTTTATTCTTGCTATGAGAAACTTTCTCACTGTTACATCAATCAGCACACCGAATGTACCTTGCCTGTCATTTGTTCATCAAATACTAGACTGGTCCTCACTGCTGCACTACTGCTCCCAGTGTCTTGTAGGACGTTCACTTTCTTGTCTCTGACATAGCCTTCACATAACGACATGTTGTAATTTGTTTATCACATGCTCTGATCACTACTGGTACTGTTGATCCATTTGCTAACTTGAGCTGACCATCAATCATGCACTGTTTAATCCTGGTGATAACACTTCCATTTTGTGGTGAAGCTGACAAGTTGTCCCTATTCTGTTTCTTCTGGCAGCAGCATTCATGGTTACAGTCACTCTTTTCTTGTTTCTTGCCAACACCATCTTTGTAGGTAGCTCCAGCTACTTTATGTTGATATTTCTGCTGTTGCTTGTTGGTGACAAAGTTGCAGAATCTTACAATACGCCCCATTTTATAACGAGCATAGCATCTCTTCTCCCTTTTGTCTGTTAAATTCTTGTTACTTTTCGTAGTATCGTGTTTGAGGTCAACCGTCACTGGTTTTGACTTTAAGTAGTTATTCTTCGACTTGCCAGTTATACTCCCTCCATGGGGAAATTTATAAAGTTATAAGTCTACTTGTCTTAGGCTTAAAATTAGTTAAGCCTTTATTGAGTATGGCCTACATCCGATAAAAAGATAAATTAACACTGCAACTTCTGTACGTTTTTGCTTTAGTTTAGTTAGGGCTCAAATTTACCATACTTAATACTATCAGTAAATAAACGTATAATGTTATTCTACGACCTAATGTTAGACCTTTTTAAAAACTTTTATAAGCTTTGAATGTGTTGTACAAAATGTCTATTAAAGTATATTCACACTCACCTTTTGTTTACATCCATTGAAAGGAAGTGTGCATGCGTATGTACTTAGATGGTAAGGTGCATGTGCATTTTCTGGACAGACAAAAATGAGTATTATAATGTATATATACATATATATATATATATATGTGTTCCTAGACCTATTAATATTTTGGCTGTTTCTATGTCGACCAGGAACCCAATTTCTCATCCTTTTCAACTCAAAGGTACATATCAAGTTTCACCTAGTCGTGACAAAGTTGGATTGATCATTAAACTCTTCAGTGCAAACAGTCCACTGTGCTCTCCCACAGAGCTACAGTGTCCACAACTCAATACGTATTGCTTTGGTACTACTGAGCCATCAGACTGCATCAAAAACCCTTACTTTGCTGATTAGCAAAGCATTGGCACTGATTATTGGCTAGCATCTGCTGAGCCCCTAGCTGCAATCAGTAGTCATGCTGTCTTTGCTGCTCAGCAAATCATGGACAATTCATTTACCCAACTAGTCCACAAGTGAATCAAATGTTTTGCTTTTCTTGTCTTGGATGACTTGCATGTAGTGGCATCATTGACATTGGCTGCAGAATGTACGCCATTGATAAACCCGGATAACTCTGCCCATTCACTGTAAACTAGAGTGTTTGTATTGCAGTGTCAGGATATGTGGATGGCTGGTTAACCCTTAGAATGGCTTTAGTTCAACATGGTGGAGGTATCTGAGTACGTAAGTCCATCTGATGTAGCTACTATGGCTGCCACTGCCGGCCTTTTATTTTCTAACAACCAGCTCAAAGTTACTACTTTGTGCTGAGTCACAACAGAAACTTCCTCTTTTAAATCGAGGACATCCCTCACACCAAGGTGATGCCTTATTGTTTTACTGGGAAATTATTTGACGAATTTGTTCATGAGGATGTTGTCCTGATTTTCTGTAGGCATTACAAGGTAGGTTGTACTGTGTAATCAGTGCAGATAATTCATATAAGTGGCCAGACTCTCGGTTACAGTCCTCTTCTTGGTCTTGAACTCAGCCTGATGGATTGCTTTATTCTACACAGGGTTGAATTGGCAATGTCACTCAATACAATTGTCTCCCAGTCCTTCTGCTGCTCCTCACCTAGGTACTGAATGGCATCCAGGCTAAAAATAACATGACTTTGAGCTAAATGTCTTTTAGCCAGGATTAATATTTGTACTGTTGCCACCTTATATGTCAATCACACTCTCAGGTCAAATTAGGCTAAATACAATAGTACACAGTAAACTATTCTTACTGGCTTAGATAGTTGCCAATGCCAACAACGAAATTTTT